CTCTCTCAGCAAAAAAGGATCTAATGAGTGTGAGATCCTGTTAAAAATATAATCGCTGCTAGGTTTTCCCATGCATTTAACCACACTATATTTAACTCATTACTGGGTGAGTAACTTGAGCATGAATAGCTCTTTATAAAAATTCCTCTTATACTTCAGCCATGTATTATTACCATGTTAAAGCATCTACAGTGCAAGTACATGCATTATGTCTTGTCAACTTACCGGTCATGTTAGGGCTCTGACCTTTAAGTGCATTAAGATTATTGACCAGAGGCCATGTGCTTTCACTGAACTACTAAAAATAAACACAGGGATGTTCTTAGATTCAGAAAAGATTTCTTATTCATAAATATTTAAGGCTTGAGAAAAAAGAGAGAGAACAATAAGCACTGGGGGTTGAGGATTAAATTTGAAGACAAATTTTTCCCAAAACTACCAGCACAACCCAGCTTGTACTTTTAAGGCACTGTGCAGCACGGGAGCTCAGCACCTGGTCAGTGTGGGAGCTCAGCACTGAGGTTTCATAGTTTTTTAGGGGCTGGAAGGGACCTTAGAGATCATCGGACCCATCCCCCCTGCACTTGGGCAGGGAAGACCACTGGGGTCAGATGTCCCCTGCAAGATGGGCATCAAGACATTAAAAGTTGAGTGTTGCCATCAGTGGGTGGGGTACTGAGTCTTCAGAGAGGCCAGCATGAAAGCCGGATGCTTCTTAACCCTTCTGGGGACATGAAAGGACTATATGGATAACCTACAAAATGTAACTATCTGTATCTGCAACAGGACCTATCACTAGGCCCTCTGGATTTCATGCAGGTTTCAAAGAAACTTTCTATGGAAGAAGCTCACAAATGAATAAGAATAAATAGTTGCTCACTGTGTTTGTCTAGGAATGGAAGAATAAACAAGCCACCTATGATAAAGGTGCATTGCCCCCAGCAAAGATGCTTCCATATTTTAGGCTCAAACACATTTCCTTAGCTGTTAATTTTTAGCTGCGATTAATTTATTTATACCCTGACTGTTGCCAATACAATGCAGTTGTTTGTTACCATGGGAACCTGCTATAGTATTTAAAAACATAACCTAATTTTGTGTCTGTGTGAGAGCCTTCTCTTGCTTTGTATTTGGATTTCAAGAGGAAAATGACTTCTATGTGCTGAATAACTGCATGCTGGACTGACCGAAATATATCCTAGTAATCATGACAAATGACATTAGAAGGTACGCTCCAATGCAAAGAAAGCAATAAAATGCTTTTATTTGAAACAAATGAGGATGTAGCGATGCATATTTGCAAAACAGCCATCCATGGATATTAAAACTTGCCAAAGCTCAGCGCTTCATTGCCAATTATCTGCACAATGGGTACAAATCTTTGCTGAGGAATAAGAAGAAACACAATGAAAGGTCTTCACAAATGTAAGCAGCCCAGGAAAGAATTGCTTTTCAAAGGCAGCCTGACAACAAAATATATGCTGTGAAAACTCCTTTGGTTTTGAAGGAAGTCAGGAATGAAAACACAGAGAAAAATCACAACAGGGATTGATTACTGGTCATCTGGATAGAAGACCAAGATCAGGATGAAGCTAAGAGGAAAAATGTATGTTGACTATAACAAAAAACCTCTCTTACAGTGAACTCGAATAGGCTGTGTGTAATCTTCCAAGATTGATTGAAAACCCATCATTTGAGATTCTCAAAACTACAGTGGGAACTAGGAAATGCTCATTTGGGAACACCTCGTCCACGGCAGGGAGAAGAATCAAAAAATATAAAAGTCCCTTTCTTTCTACTCTATGTTTCTGCTGCAGGATTACACCTATTTTATGATCAAAAGATGGAAAAGGCTTTCAGGCTAGAAAAGGTATCCAGCCCACAGAGTAATGGAAACATTTCCACAAGATGTCAGACTGATGAGCTTGGCATGGTATTTTCCAATCTTTGTTGTGACTACTGTGTAACACGTAAGGTAATAAAAATACTATGATCCAATTCACTGCGAGCTAATCCATCCATAATATTTAAGACACAGATCTTTGTAATGTTTCCTTTGCATTTTAGGCAGTTAGAAAAGTGCTAACAGAAGCCCTCAGCATAGTGCAAAGTATCTGATTTTAAATGACTAATCCCTGTGACTGTGGATAGAAAACTGTGACTACTGTAGTTTTCCTAGCGCTTACCAACTGGGAAATACACCACATGCACACAAACATTTTTTCTTATTGAAATATTTCACAGCATAGTTTGGAATTTAAAATCCAGCGGGGCCATGTGAATGCCAGCTGCCCAGCCTCCCACCTTTCCCATAAGAGTGCTAACACTGGCTCCAATCCTGCAGTCGATAGCATATAAATGGGTCATTGCACCCAGTCTACTGACTTCAGTGCAGCTCAATGCAATCATAGCACTTTGCCTATGCAGGCAGTGTCCACTGCAGGATTGTAGCCATTACAAGATACTGAATACCAGAATAGCAAAACAAGGGCAAAAGTTCTTCCAATTACCCGGTCTCCAGTTGCCTATATTTTTAGAAGGAAAAAAATGATTATATGAAACTGTTAATGGCTTGATCCCAAGGTTACTGAAGTCAATGAGAGTCTTTCCATTGACTTAGGTTTTAATCAGAGTCTCCGTTAGGCAAGGTTTCATCTTGGGAATACTATTAACCTAAATCACCGATTTTATTGCCATGTTAATTATCTAACTAAGTAACCACTACTACCATGCGGGACAAGTACTTCGTGTAAGCCAATGATTATTATGTTTATAGGCTATAACTGCATTTTTTAACTCTATAAAACTGGACATGTGGAAACTACAAAAGAAAATCTCAATAATTAAAGCAAAGATTCCCTTAATTAACTACAAAGCACCATTGAAGTCTAATCAGACTCTAGCAGAATAATACAATATTCTTCCCTAATCAAACACAAAAATAAAATGAGATAAAGGGGATCAAGGGGAACGAAAGTCGATATTTCGCTTTTTTTTGGCTTACCACAGGAGAACTGACTGCATTTACAGTAGTTATTCTGACAATGCTCATTATTAACAGTGTATATATCAGCACACTTCAAAGATAAGATGCCTGTACAAATGAACTGTACAAATGAACAGGAAATGAACATGTTAAAGAATCAGGCGTAGACAAACAAAAGGATCCAATAAACTAAAGTCTGTTTGCATTAACCCAACTATATAATACACAAAGCTGCATATTTGTGGAAGCTAACTTGACTTCCATAGTTAACAGTTCATTCATATGGTCATTATTTCATAGATTTATTATTAGACTCTTATGCCCACTGGTATGCCATTTTGGTATGCCTTCCCAAGAGGTATTATCATAATGGAGTTCCCATATCACGTGCTATTCAGTCCTATATATTTAACTAAACATGAATATCACTGCCCTGAAAGTATTATATGCAAGGCAGCAATATTCTGCTGCTAGTCTTTTCCCCTGACAAGTAGCTTTACAGGCTCAATACTGAAATTGTCATGAGCAATAAAGATTTAAGGCCTGGTTTTCAACTGGTATGAACTAGTCTGGCTCTTCTGAAGCCAGTGAAGTTGGCAAACTGAAAATCTGGCCCTGAATATCCTATCTTATTAACACTCCAGAAACAGAACAACTCGCAGCGATGTGAGCCTACCAAAACTTGCTTCAGCCATGAACTGGAAAGACCATCCCAGAAGAGTTTGTCTATTAAATCTTGTACTATTTTGATGGTGGATAGGATATGTGGATGTCCTGTCCATTAGAAATTGGCATATCACACAAAATTCATTGAATAAATTTACAGGTAAATCCTCAGGTGGTAAGAGCTTTCAGGCATTAGTGTCTTGGGCCAAACTCAAAATAAAAATCTAAAAATTTGAAGATTCATGGATGTTAGGGGCTGGAAGGGACCTCACTCTAAAGACCTGAATATTTAAGGACCTGAAGAAGGGTGCTTTGTGCCCACCCAAAAGCTTGCCCAACATCTCTCACAACTATAGTTGGTCCAATAAAAGATATCACACACAAATAATACCTCTGCTTCTCTTTACAGTTACATTTTATTATTATTTTTGTTATATAGTAACAGGAGGTAACAGACCATAAGCAGCTGATGGATAGTTTTCTGTTAGTAGTTCAAGTTATAGTAATAACCTTGCCTGAAATGTTTAATGGGAAAAGGACTGAAGTTTGGTCTTTTTATTAAATAATAGTGTTTTGTAATCAAATGTTTTTGTGCATCTCACATTTTTTTTTCAAACTTTAAAAGAAAATATCTACTTGACTTTAAAAGAAAATATTTAGTTGCTTCAATGAATTTTCTTTCCAGTTTTGCTATTTTGTTTAAATGTTTTTTTATTGCACATTTTGACTGGATGGGGGGGTGCATCTACACATTTATTAATGTGCCTCAGATCTGCACAATTAATTTAGTACTTGCTTAATAAAGTATTAAGTAAATGCGCAGTACCTAGAGTTACTGCACAGTAGTGCTGGCGCACAGTTATTTTGTGATGCTTACTGCCCATTAGTCTAGTAACACTGCGCAGTAGGCTATTAGCACGGTTTTTAACCTCCATGCTACTGCGCACTGTTATTAGGCTAATACGCAGTGTCTTCTGTAGACATGCCCAGATTCAACAGATTTCAAAAATGAAAAATATTTTTTGAAAAATTTCTCTGAAGACTTAAAAAAATATTTTTAGTGCATTTCAAAATACAATGTAATAAACAGTCAAAGGAAAATTGGAAAGCAGAAAATCAGCCCTCAGTGAAACAAAGCACACTTACAAAACTATCAACGTTTTCCCTTAAATCTTCAACCAAGTAATCAGTTCTCTCTCTGAATGCAACCATAACAATGTTAATGCTGTTACACGATGCTCATATTTTTGTCAATACATTTACACTACTTAACACTGTTCACTCTAGGGGAAAGGACAAAGGGGATGGAAACATTCAATGTCTAGATTATTACTAAATGTATTCATACCTTTTCTGTGTCAATCCCTTTAGACATGGACCATGTTGAGACAATGTAATCCATGACTCGTTCGCTAAGGCCTTTTGGGACTTGATATAATTTTAGGAAATCCCTCACATTGTTCAGCATCTCATGGTATCGGTTGGTGTTAGCATACATTTGCTGGAAAATGGTGGTGACATTTCCAAAAATTGTTGCATATAGAAGAGCTGAAAGAGACCAAATGATAGAGATAAATTTGTACACTTCCCCAAAATAGAATTAATCATTTCAAGAAGTATCTTGCAGGAAAAAAAGCATGATTACAATTGACTTCACATGTGTGCGTACACTGAAAAGTTCTAGTTCCTGTATTTTCTAGTGTATAGGATGTAGATTTTCTCCCCAAAACAGGATTCTAAACTTAAGAAGTGTCTTAAAAATATGCAAAAATAAATGAAATAATTGCAATAAAATGTTGACCAAAATTCAAACAAAATTATATCAATAACTTCTCCCCCACGCAGTCTTTTGTCCTGGTTTCCTGTGTGAAAATGTATCTTATATACAGGGAAATACGATACATATACAAAGTCACAAAAGATTCAGATGATTCTTTCTGTATATAAAGCAAAGTCATTATTTCTAGGATGTCTGGGCTTTAGCAACTTTCTTGAATTTGCTCATCCAGCAGCAAAGCACTCTGAAAAGAGATTAACCTAAATAGAAAGCAGCTGTACTCCGCAAACCTGGGCCAGTTATGTGCTCAAATGCCCCCTGCTGTAACGTCAGTTTGCCGACATGGCAGCTGCCAATGGCCTCAGGAGCAATAGATAGAATAATTGAAAATGAGGGTGGGAAGGGACCTCAGGAGGTCACATCTAGTCCAACCCCCTGCTCAAAGTAGGACCATTCCCAACTAAATCAACCCAGTCAAGGCATTGTCTAGCCAGGGCTTAAAAACCTCCAAGGATGGAGATCCACCACCTCTCTAGGTAACCTGTTTTACTACCCTCCTAGTAACACAATTCTTCCTAATATCTAACCTAAACTTCCCTTGCTGCAACTGAAGACCATTGCTCTTTGCTCTGTCATCTGCTGCCACTGAGAACAGTCTAGCTTCATTGTCTTTTGAACCCCACTTCAGGTAGTTAAAAGCTGCTATCAAATCCCCGCTTGGTCTTCTCTTCTCTAGACTAAATAAACCCAGCTCCCCTAGCTTCCCCTCATAAGTCAAGTGCCCCAGGTCCAGAACCATTTTTGTTGCCCTCTGCTGAGCTCTCCCTCAGTTTTTCCCCATCCCTTCTGTAGTGGGGGGCCAAAAACTGAACACAGCACTCCAGATGTAGCTGCACCAGGGCTGAATAGAGGGGAAGAATCACTTCCCTTGCTCTGCTGGCAACACACCTACCAATGCAGCCCAGTATGCCATTAGCCTTCTTGGCAACAAAGGCACACTGTTGGCTCATATTCAGCTTATTTTCCACTGTAACCCTGAGGTCCTTTTTAACAGAGCTGCTATCAAGCCAGTCACCCCCAGCCTGTACCAGTGCATGGGATTGTTCCATCCTAAGTGCAGGGCTTGCACTTGTCCTTGTTGAACCTTATGAGATTTCTTTTGGCCCAATCCTCCAATTTGTCTAGGTCACTCTGAATCCTAGCCTTACCCTTCAGGGTATCTACTCCTCCCCCCCCAGTTTGGAGTCATCTGCAAACTTGCTGAGAGTGCACTCCATGCCATCTTCCAGGTCGTTGATGATGATATTGAACAAAACTGGCCCCAGAACTGACCTCTGGGGAACTCTACTTGATACCAGTTGCCAACTAGACATCGAGCCATTGATTACTACTCATTGAGCTCAATGCTTCAGCCATTTTTCTATCCACTACTATCCACTCATCCAGTCCATACTTCCTTAACTTGCTTGCAAGAATGCCGTGGGAGACTATATCAAAAGCCTTGCTAAAAATCAAGGTATACTGAATCCCCTGGTCTCCCCGCATCCACAGAGCCAGTCATCTTGTCACAGAAGGCAATCAGGTTGGTCAGGCATGACTTGCCCTTGGTGAATCCATACTGACTGCTCCTAATCAATTACTTCTCCTCCAAGTGCTTTGAAATGGATTCCTTGAGGATCTTCTCCATGATTTTTCCAGGGAGTGAGGTGAGGCTGACTGGTCTGTAGTTCTCTGGATCCTCCTTTTTTCCCTTTCTTAAATATGGGCACTAAGTTTGCCCTTTTCCAATCATCCAGGACCTCTCCCAATCACCATGAGATTTCAGAGAAAATGGCCAGAGGCTCTGCAATTACATCAGCCAACTCCCTCAGCACCCTCGGGTGCATCCTATCCCACCCCATGGACTTGTATATGTTCAGCTTTTCTAAATAATCTCTAACCTTTTCTTTCATCACTGATAGCTGCTCACCTCCTCCCCAAACTGTGCTGCCAGGTGCAATATTATTGGAGCTGACCTTTCTTGTGAAGACAGAGGTGAAAAAGGCAGAGTATTTCAGGCTTTGCTGCATCCTTTCTCACTAGGTTGCCTCCCCCATTCAGTAAGGGACCCACACTTTCCCTGATCCTCCTCTTGCTACTGACATACTTGTAAAAACGCTTCTTGTTATCCATCACATCACATGCTTGCTGCAACTCCAGTTGTGCTTTGGCCTGCCTGGCTTCATCCCTGTGTGCCCAAGCAATGCTCTTATATACCTCCCTAGTTCTTTGTCCAAGTTTCGACTTCTTATAAGCTTCCTTTTTGTGATTTAGTTTACTGAAGAGTTCCCTGTTAAGCCAAGCTGGTCTTCTGCATTACTTGCTAGTCTTCCTGCACATCGGGATGGTTTATTCCTGCAATCTCAGTAAGGCTTCCTTAAAGTGCACCCAGCTCTCCTGGACTCCTCTCCCCCTCAGATTGGCTTCCCAGAGGATCCTGCCCATCAGTTCCCTGAGTGAGTCAAAGTCTGCTTTTCTAAAGTCCAGGGTCCTTACTCTGTGGCTTTCCATCCTTCCTTTCCTCAGGATCTTGAACTCAATCATGTTGCCCAAGTTGCCATCCATCACTACACCCCGCACCAATTCTTCCCTGTTTGTGAGCAATGGATCAAGAAGACCATGGTCCCTAATTGGCCGCTCCAGTGCTTGCACCAGGAAGTTGTCCCCAACACTTTCCAAAAACTTCCCGGATTGCCTGCACACTGCTATATTGCCCTCGCAGCAGATGTCAGGATGACTGAAGTTCCCCATGAGAACCAGGGCCTGTGACTGGGAAACTTCTGCTAGCTATTTGAAGAAAGCCTCATCCACCACTTCCTCCTGGTCTGGGGGTCTACAGCAGAGCCCCACCATGATATCACCCTTGTTGCTCTCTCCTCAGACCCTAATCCAGAGACTTTTGACAGGCCTGTCTGCAGTTTCATACTGGAGCTCTGAGCAATCATAGTGCTCTTTTACATAAGTGGAACTCCTCCTGCTCTTCTCCCCTGCCTCTCCTTCCTGAACGGTTTGTACCAACTGTACATGCACACACCCCAGACATACACATAGCCCACCAAACAGCACTCAGGAAGCCAAAGTCACAGGCAGCTCTGGATCACTCACCTTGCCTGGACAGGATCTGGTGCCTGGCTTCACTCTCCCTTCCCCTTACTACTCTTGCTCCCAGCAAACTGCCTGAAAATTGCTTGCCCTGTTTGCAGCAAACAGCATACAGGGGGATGGGGATCAGCAGGATAGAGGGAAGCCCCAGCTATGCACCACTGCAACTGGCCACTTCCCAAAAACCAGCAAGGAGGTGAATGGTGTAGCAACCACTACCCCAGATGAAATGAATACATAGATAAATAATACGGCTGTGTGAAATGTCGCTGGCAGTTTCGTTTCAATGCTATTTCAACTCGTTTTGAGCTTGAAACAGCAAAATCGAAATGAACAGACAGCTTTGAAACAGCCTTGAAACCAAACGAGGCAAGTCGAAACATTTCAACATTTTCAAAATGTTTCGAGTTTCGAAGCTCAAGCTGGGCTTGCCTGCAGGGAAACAGAAACTAAAATAAGGAGTTAGGGGGAACAAGGGGAAGCAGGGGAAGGAGTGCTCTCATTATTGACTGTGCAGCCGGCCAGTGACTGTCACCCTTCCCTGAGGTCTCTTCCAATCCCAGTGCTCTGGGGGAGGGATGGAAAAACTGCATAAAAGGCAGCATTGTTTGACCTGCCCTGCTTTCTGCCTTGGTGTCAGTTGAGTGAGGGCACACCTTAACACACACACAGTGTCACCCACCCATGTCACGAGTTTTGCCTGTCAGCAGCTAGAGGTGCAGGGCCCCAGAACCCAGACTCCCCCTGCACTGATCTCCTTGACAGCTGGCAGGCTTCGTGGCTGGCGCCAGGGCTAGC